ACTTAACTAATAGGTTAATATTTAAACCATCAGAGCCTCAAATATTAAGATCCAAGTCAGCTTTGCTAAAGCAGCAGATAGTCATTTATCACAAAATGCAAGGATATGAGATACTAGAGTTATGCAGGCAATTAGACATGCTGATAAACAAGTGTGTACTTCAATGAAGTTAGCCTTCAATGAAATGCTATGAAAAACCACATGGGTCTCCATTTTTGCGTTGGAGCGTGCATTTGGCATGAGTAACTTTAACTAAAAGGGCATAAGCAAGTCAGAAGCTGACCTGTTGCATCAAGAGCACGAATTGTTTCACAAAATGCATTAGCTCTTTCTCTCCGACGTCCTATATCACTTGAAGGAGGGGGCAATCCCGTAAACAGAAAAATCTTTGACAAGAGATGTGCAGTAGGTTAAAGAAAAAAGATGCTATTCCTTATCTCCTTTTATTTAAAGAAAAATAGAATTAGCAACAGAAAGTCATAAGGATATAATCTCGCAGCTTATCCGTCATATGAGGCACAGCTACCAGCAATGCACGAATCACAGCAACAGTAGCTTCGTGTGATCCATCTTCAAGAAAAGTATCCATCTGAATTCGTATTTTGTCAACAATCTACAGGAAGAAACTTTAGCCAGTCAATCAATTCCATCTAAGATACAATGCTTTTAGCCCAAAAGGTAATCTGAGCAACGAGTACCGCTTTATACCATGTCATTCTTAAAATGTTGTGCTACAGCACCAAAAGCATCAATGCTTGCATATTTTACGTTTAGGTTTTGGTCTGAACCAAGAGTCACTAGAGCTGGTAAGACATGGGATGAGGCAACCTTTGCATCAATATATGGTACCTACCAAAAAGGGAAGTCATATTTCAAAGCAGATTAACAGAGTTAGGGGAAATAAAATTCGTTGATGGTACTAAATAATCATTTGAAAAAGAAAAGAAACAACTCACAATGACTTTCAGAAGTTTGGCAGCATTGACTTTCTGATTTACAGCAGTACTTGCAATCATTTCCCATAGAATGTTAAATATTATACCATGGTTTTCTTCAAAGGTACTGCAGCCCATAAAAAAATATTTCATAATCAGCTAATGAACAACACATGATGGCCCATTAAAATAGAACTGTCTGCGGATACAAACCAAACAAAGCGAATAGAATTTATGATCTCGTGATTTGCTGACTGATTATCCTGATTAGAACTTTGAATCAGTAAATTCCTCAAGTACTCGGCCAAGAGCTCACGCTTGCTTGGGTGACCAAGTATGCCCGCCAGAAGAAGTGGTAGTACACACATTGTAGCAATCCTCTGATCTATTGTAGATTGAGGCCTCAAACCTGTATACACAAACTATGGTAGTTTAAAGATAAAACAGGAGCGGGTACACACAGAAAGGAATGGAGCTCTATACATGAAACTCTTGGTCAGTAAAAAATTTAAATAAAAAGAAAAAAAAAAGATTTATTGCCTCTAAGTCTGGACTGGGCTTTGAATGGAAAGTATTTTTTATCAGCATCATCTCCAACAGCTACTAAAAACACTGGCAACATGATGTGTGTCAAGTAAGGTTCCCCAAAACGTTCAGCCACTGCCAGCAGAAACTGCATGTGGTTGAGCAAAACTTTCAAAATTTTAACAAACAGAAAGAAAGTAAACCACAGCTGAACAATCGCACACATTTCATGAAATTTGAAGCAACTCAAATTCATTAAGCAAGCAGAGTACCTTAGTTATACGGTTTCTGATATTATCCTCCTTCTGAGGCAATAAAGAGGACAACTGAATCAAAGTGGGAAAACAGTCCATGTGCATCCACTCAAAGGCAGGCCACTCCACTTGTCCCCTGACCAATTAAAGTTAGTCTGTCAGTACCAAAGCCAAAAATTCCAAATAAAACTTAAGTGGGAAGAGGAAAGACCAAGCAACTTGCTTACTCCGCATATATATGAAGCAATGATTGAGTGAATGATAGTGTTGATGAATCTGAAACTGAAGAAATTGGACAAGTCTCAAGAGTTCTCCTGTGGACACATGAAAGAAGTTCGGCAAGCAGCCGCAATAATACATCAACATTCCAACGTTCTCTTTCGCCTAACGCGTGTAGATGTGACTCAATGGAACCTTCAACCCCAGAAATAGGTGGGCAACGCTGGAAAAATAATACACCAAATAAGCATGACAATGATAATCCTGATTAATGGTGAAAACTATGTAGGATAAAATACCTGAGCACACTCCAAGATATGAGAGAGAAGAATTTGTAACATATGATCCAACTTATCTCCCCAATTTATTAGAGCAGGCACTAAATCCTTGATAGTAGTCTCGACAACAACTCCCGAGGGATCACAAACCAATTGAAACATCATATCCTCAACCTAACAAAAGCAACAAAAGATATTGGAGAAATCTTTTTATCCCTGTTCTTTTTCCTATCTTTCCCTAGTAATGCATCATATTACGACCATGGGAAATGCTCCATTTCTAGATCACGGAGCTTACATTTTAGGCAACTGCAAAGTCAGATATCTTCTCCATGATTGCCTCGAAGCAGATTTAGTGAGGCTGACCTTGAAATATTTGTCCGTGTTTGGGAAGAGTGCCAGCAACAAAGCGAGATTATGAGCTGCAGACTCCCTCACGACTGTAGCAGAGTCCTCGATAAGCTGTTGCACAATGGACAAGATAAGGGAGTCGCGTATCTCTGGCCGCACAAATTCTGCAAGCTCACCGCATGACTGAGCAACAAGAAGCCTACGTTCCTCATACATGTGATTAATCTACAAAAGAAAATAAAGTTGACACTCAGATATTTCTTATTACTTTCTCCTCTTTCGGGTGTGTCCGTGTGTATGCAGTGCCAGGTCCTTAAACAAAAGAAATACACTGCTACAAATCTTAGGATGGTTCATACTTGTTCCCAACACTGGGGAAGCAATTCTGTTTCTGTTCTCAACTCTCCAACATTCTTTGCAAGAGTAACACAAGCCTGAAATGACAAGCACATTCATGAGTGCTAAGATCAAGGTTTAGTAAATCGCAACTCTATTCCAAATCTTACATCCATTATAATTTGTCTCTGCTGCTCATCGGGACGCTTTATTAAGTTAAATAACGTATGGGTCAGGGAATCACGAGTGGCACAGTCTGGATGGCGCTCAATTGCACACATAATCAGAGGAAGCAGCTCCTGCAAGGGATGACATCAATAAATTCAAGACAAGAGGTACTATCTTGCAGTAGTAAATCCCACTCCTAATAAACCTTTAAAAACGAATAAACCAAAATAGATCGGCAAACCTCTCGATGGTTGATTAGAACGTAAGGTACAATTTTAGGCAAAGCATTTGAAAGTATCTCAATAGTTCCCAAACCCTGGCACATAAAAATGAGTTGTGGATGTCAGCTTGATGTAAACTATTATATCTACCATCTGGTTAGCATGTCCTGAAGAAGAACAAGGATGTACCGTTTTGTCAGCAGTTGATTCAGCATCAAGGTTGTCCGGCTTGGTAAGCAAACTATCAGTCATTGAGGAAAGTGTTCCATTTTCCTTGCAAATATTTTCTCCGTCTCCATGAAATCCACTTTCACCTGAAGAAGTTGGTAATTCTTTTGACATTTTCTCAGATCTGGCATTGCTGACATCAGAATGCTGTTTCTCCATCATCTCAGTATCCACAATCATTAAATCAGCCAACGTACCAACTCTAGAAGATTCATCAACATTTCCTTGTGGATCTTCAGCTTTGTCCACTTCTCCATCATTTCCTTCCTCTCTTACCATTGAGTGAACTGGGTCCATACTCAAAGGCGTTTTGGCTTTCAACATTTCTGTTTCACTCTCAAGAATTTCATTATTCTCATCCTGGCCCTGTGGTACTGGTTGGATGAGTTCAGAGCCTGTGGCTACAACATATTTACCAGATTGATATCCTTCGATATGCATTTTTAGCGCAGTTATTTCAACTCTACAATCATTTAGTTCCATTCTTTGGCTTTCCAAAGTCTTCTTCAAACCATGGACCTGGTAGACATAATTGCCAATAAATTCACGGATAAATAGAACCAATATTGATATAACATTAATTAGGTCAAAGAGATTTACTAAATTTTCTTTGTCCTTGATATCTTTCTGTACCGATTCCAACGATTTGGTCAATACCATGACTTGTGAATCTGACATCTCTTTGTTTCGCACTAAGGACTTCAGCCTGTCATTCTCTTTCTGCAAAGCTATTTTTTCCTGCGGTATACAGGAAATTATCAGTACCAGATATTAGCGGCATGAAATTAACTGATATTTTAGAAAAATATCACATACAGGTGATAGCCTCCAAAATAAAATGTCAAAAATCTAGGAAAAGATTCAATTATCAACCAATTCTTCAGGAAATTTGTGAAGAATACATCAAATAAAAGTGTCCTTGAAAGTGCTGGTATTTCATCCAGTTGTTCAAACAATCAAATATAAGTGAAACAACGCTGTCTAACAAAATTTTAACCCTTTAAAAGTGTCAATCCTTTAAAAGTACTGCATAACTGGAAACGCCACAAGTCCAGGGTAATAAAAATCAGTGTAAAGCTTAACAACAAATTACCAAATCATCACGATAAAATTTTAGGCTTTCAAAAGTTTGAAGTGATACTCATATTTCAGAACCATTAGTTGGTTGGGGATTCCTTAACACAATATTCTGAGGAGACAAATGGCAGTGGCTTTATAAGCAAAGATGTCATCTTATTCATTTTGTTGGAATACAATAAGGGAATCAAGCCGCAAGCTAATAGAATAAAACTAAGAAGAAAACTAAAAAGGGGAATGAAAATCTAATGTGCAATCAGGGAATTTAAATGCTAATCATATCAACATAAGCAGAAAACATAACTAAAGTTTCCAAAAACATTCAAAATTTACCTCTGCACCCTCTGCAGTTGAAGAAAGATACTCATAATAATAATGTCGCAGCGCATCAGGTACACATGCAGATGAGTTTTGCCATACATCCAAATTTTGGTCAGTGACCTGTTGTTCAGGTAAAATAATGTTGTTACTAAGTAAATGTGTGTACTCATGCAGTTGTACTTCATACGACAGGTACATGACAGAGACAAAAGATTTTGAGTCACAGTGACATTTGTATTCATGCATTTGTTACTATGTAAATGTGAGTACTAATACATTTTTACTTCATACAGCAGGTACATGACGGAGACAAAAGATTTTCAGTCAAAGTGACATTCTTTCTAAACCCAATTCTAGCCTGAAACATGAAATATTAACAAGACCATTTTAGTGGAGCCACACCCATGATCTCAATGCTAGCAAGGAGTGGAAACAACATAAGCCATAACCACATCTGCTTAAGAAGAAAAGTTTCTGCCAGACAACCCACTAGAATTATTTCTTCATCTACTCTTTTGATTCGAAACCATCAAAGAAAATAGCAAAAAAAAAAAAAAAAAAAAAAAAACTGAAAACCAGTAACCTCAGGAACTAAATCTACTGAACTTCATCCTTTAAAAAAAAAAAAAGTGGACTTTGAGTGAGATGTGGCTAGTTCATAAATGATAATGATAAATACATATGAGTTCTACCTAGAAAATGACTCATTCTTCAAGTTATAACAAGCAACAGGGGAAAGCAGGAATTGGGATGTACCTCTACAGCAGACTTTAGAGGCATAACAAGCACAAAAGACCAATCAGAAAAAGGAGTCTATGGTTGAAGTACCTCTTCATAAAATGTCATTGCAGTTAAACGGTATCCAGCTAATAGTAAATACTCCTTCACTGCACAGTTTAAATCCAATCGCTCATTGTCCTTCAGAGGACCCAAATCTAAGAAAGACTCGTCCCTCTTTACTTGTTCGACAATTTGTATGTTATCTTTAGTACTATTAGCACTTCTTCCTGAAAGTGAAACAAATTGATAAAGTCATGATATCAGCAAGATCAACCTTTTCAGGAACTGTTGACAAAATATACACTGGTAAGATCGAGCAAATGCAGTTACACAGAATCACCATTTGATTCATCCAAGTTGGTCTCAGTTTTCTTCAGTAACTCAGACTTGATGTTATGAATATCCTCTTGAGCAAGACGAAGCTCATATTCACGCACAGCTAATTTTTCTTCCAGCGATTCCTTTTCTTCAAACAGACTTTGGGGGTCTGCCACTGTTCCATAGCAAATATGAAACCCAAACTATCAATGCCGAGATAAATAATTATAATTATAAATGAGTTTTAATATTGATTTTATAGTTTGATCTCAGCTGTTATGATCTGTTTTGGCAACATAAACTGATTACCCTAATAATTTTTTACAAGTTGTGGCAGCATTACATTCAATTTTTTTTAATTTTTTTTGTCCATTATTTGATAATCCTGTCTCTTACTAATTAAAATCTCATTGCAGCCAGAAAATAAGCTTTCAGAAATTCTATTTGGTTTATTCATAGCAAACCCAGCCTCAAATAAAAGGAATTTTAATAAATTTACCATATATGTACTCCCTTTCATATGATTTATTATTAAGAAAAAAATATAAAATCAGGCAAATTATATAGGTCCCTTAGTTTTTCTATTCCCTCTTTAAGTTCCCTAAAAGCAGTGATCCAGGCAACTCACATTATGGGAAATGTTTGTGGTCCATTATAATGAAACAAGACTTAGAACTACATGGAAGCTACTGAATGCCCCCTTGCCAAAAAGACTGGTTCTAAGGTGTGTGCTAATGCGTTCCAGATAATGTTACTAGTATTATGTATACGATAAAAACCTGTGACTATATATATACACATGGAGTGTAACTGCTCTCAGAGACTAACTAGAACACAATTGATAAGCAATGGAAAATCACACACACACACACACACACATTTTCGATGCATTCCTAGCTTACTACTCATTTTCGATCAGAAAATGCTAAAAGGGCTCAGTCAACAACTTGACAGAAAGTCTCCTTTCTCATTTTATGTCTAGAAATATAACAAAAAAGTATTAATACTTGAAAGAGTAGTTCCTTCAGTGGTTGCAGTTTATTTATCAATACATATATACTTCCTTCCAGGATATGCAAGATTACATAGAGGGGTCATCTAGAGATAAGAGTGAATTTCGCAATTATCACACTGTTTGGAAAATCTCTTTACAGATATCCAAAAATGGAAAGCAAATTCTATATCAGCTGAAGCTGAGATAACTGCAACTCATCGAGCAATAATAAAGAGATTAAATTTTCATTTATAGGCATTCCATCACCTCACCTCCTTGAAGTTGTGACTTGATTAAATCAAACATTTAGGTTCAATAATCAATAGACTTCATGTATGAACTCACAACTTTGAGGATGTTATCTAGGAGCTGTCCCCCACCTTTGAGCATGTTATCCAAAAGAAGAAGCCCAATAAAATACATAAAACAAAAGATTAAACAATCGTGGCGACACAAGTAAACAGCGCGCGTATGCGGAATGTATACGCACACATGAGAGAGCAAACCTCGAAGAGAGTTAAAGCGTGAGATCTGATCGGGGGGAAAGTGAGTCGGATCGGAGAAGAACTGCTTGAGGCGAATCGCCTGATCATCGCGGCCGTCGTCAAGGAGCTCATGGAGAAGCTCGAACGCCGACAGCAGGTAATTCTCTTCGAGCAGAAAATTAACCACGCAATTGCACAGTGACGATCTCTCGACGTCCATTGTGGAATTCTCGACACTCGACGCCTTTTATGGCTGCGGCGAATCACGCCATTGTTTTCTGGTGCTGAGCTTGGTTTCAGATCTGCGTGGAAATTTAGGCTGAGAATTTCAGATTTATTTATTAATTAATTAATTTTTATTTTTTTTAATTTTTATTTTTTTTTATTTTTGTAAAAAATGGGGAAAAGTGTATAAAACAGAGATTATGTTGATGATTTATACTCCCTCCTATTTTTTTTCATGTCATTCTAGCTTTATCAACTACTCCCTCATTTTCAAAATAAGTGTCGTTTTGACTTTTTTGATTCATCCATTTTTCTATGTATCTAGACATATGTCTAGATACATAGCAAAATGGATGAATCAAAAAAGTCAAAATGACACTTATTTTAAAAAGGAGGTAGTATTTGTTAAATAAATGTCGTTTTGGATCTTTTGTACATATTTTTATATTGTTACCCTCATTTAGCCAATAAATACATTACGTCTTTTCATATTCACTCTTCATTTTATCTCAAAACATTCATCTCTATCTTCATTAAATAAGGTTATTATTGACAAAAAAAATATTCTTAATTAATGTGCAACTTCTCAAAACGACATATATTAAAAATAGGAGGTAGTATAAAACAGAGAGGAGCAGTAGCAAAAGGCTAAAGTCTCGTTATGGGATGGTACCGTCAGCGTTTTTCACCATTAGATAAGAAAAGTAGATTATGTTGTGTGGATAATTTACGGTAACAAACTCTGACGGAACCATTACGTCAACGGGACTTTAGCCGTTCCCATAAATATATATAGATATTTACAAATATACAGCTCGTGTAAAATTAATCAAAATAGGATTAGTATGTGATAATTATTTCATATATACGAGATTGCAATTTATATCACCTGATCCCTTTTTCTCTCTCCATATATTGATCATGGAATCAAGACGTCGAAATTAACGCATACAACATGGAAATTTAAAAAAAAATGAAATAAACATGCGGGGTTCACGGCTCAACGAGTTCTTGCAGTCCAAAAAAAAAACACCCCAATGTCAACGGCTCTGATGTCGATTTGAAGCCTCTGGCCAACGGAGACGACCCATCGAAACAGACACCGACATCCTTTGGTGGAGGCGTCGTCGAATCAAAGGGTGATTCTGTTGTTGTCCACGATGGCGTTGCTGGTGTCACTGATATCCAGTAGAAGATGAAAGCGCACGGAGCGGTTCGACATGGCAGTGCAGATGACGGAGGGTGAAACGCGTGGTTCCTGATTCGTGTATTCTGTTTTATCCCGTTTCAGACTTATTTATATGTTGTTTATCTTATGTTTTAACTATACAGTTAATATTATAGAACTGTCAGATCATGTTTATCTTAGTATATATATATAGTATTTATGAACATATGTTTTGTGGTTATTAGGCAGCATATATATAGTAGATCTACATCTTTTTTATTGGAGGAGATTTCACGAAGAACAATTTTATATGAGAGGAAATTTTTTTGTTGAGAGATGAAGTTTGCTACACTAAAGTATGTGTTTCATGTAAGATGTTACACAAAATATGCATTAGTTAAACATGTAAACGGCAGTCGAGGGTAGTTAGAGAGAAACACATTTTTTATTGTTAATTCCGTATTTTTTTCCCCAAACCCCATTCAATAATTTCAATTTATCCTCAACTACAAGACAACCAAACTCAATTGTAACATCAAGAATCAAGAACTTCACATCTTAATTCCACCAAAATGGAACCAACAACACACAATAAGCTCAAATCATTCAACTTTTCACAGCCAAAGCTCATAAAAATCAAATTCTAGTTGTTCGATGAGATCTTCACCGAGTTAATATAACTTCATCATCACTATTGTGCGGTTTGATGTCGTGTTTTCTTCGTTTTTCCATTGAAGAATTTGTGAAGGAATATGAGTTTGAGTGTTGTTAGGGAATTCTTTTTTCTTTTTCTTTTTTTTTCTTTTTTTCTTTCTCTCTTTCTCGTATGGGGTGACGAAACTAAGGGGAGAGAGAGGATATATTCTCTTCTTCTTTATATGTTGTAAATTGGTAGAATATGAGATTAAAACGGTTACCGAAAATCTAGTTCCAATTTAACCCATTAATTATGTTTTATAGTAATTGAAAAATGCCTAAAAACCGCTTATTACAAATGCCAAGTTTTATTTAACAAATCATATTTATAAAGAAAAATTTCACCGTTCGTATTTTTACAAATATTGTTGAAAGGAATTGTAAGTAATGTAAATTTCTCAATAGTGTATCTAGGATGGCAACGGGACAGGTGGGGTTGGGTAGTTTAGGGCTTGCTTGTTTATAAAATAACTAGTTTTACCCCGTGTATTTGTACGAAAAACGATATAATTGAAGAGAAAGTAATTAAAAGTGTAAAAGAAAATAAAATTCATAACTTAATAAATGAGAAAAAAATAATTTAAAAACGTGAATCTAAATATTATTAAACACTTCGTTATATACAACATTCGTGATTTTCCTATCGTCAGAATCCCCATCACAACAAATCATTATTGTTAAACCTCTTCGACTCGTAACTCTGGGATTTGATTTTTCAAAATATTTGATTATCTTTGTAATGTTCAAATATATATATATATATAATATATATATATATATATATTATATATGTATATATATTTATTATTGTATGAATCCAATAGAATATAGAGATACTTATAGTCATTCTTAATTGTTTGTGAAATATTTACTTATACAATTCTAAAATATATATTATCAAAATAAAACAAAATATTTTGTATTTCAGCACATAAAAAGACGTTATAGAAATGGGCACCATCCAATATAAGACTTGTCAAAATAAATTGTGTAACTGAAGTTAAATATTATTATTAAATGGTGAACATATTTTTATTATACGAACACCTATTTTTATTAAATGAACTTATATTATTATTAACAGCTGGCTGAATAAAATTTATTGAAGCTTGCCAGCAATTTATATATATAGATTTACTCACATTTAATTCATACTCAAAATCTAACTCAACTTTAACTCAATTCCACTATTCTCAATAGTATTCATATATTTAAATAATACAAACCATTCATTGTTACACATCACATCAACTTTAATTCACTATTCATCTATTCACATAATCTTAACCACCCATTATTTTCAATCATTTATCTCCTACTTTTACATCAAATCAATTCTAATCATTTTATTTTAATATTATTTTAATATATTCTGAAAATTCTACTAACTATTAGAGCATCTCCAATGGCCATTCTATTGTTCTATTTTATTGCCACATGACACACACAATCCTATGTGGCATGAAAAATGTCTAGAAGGCCTTCTAGATGTAGAAGCCATTATAGAATGCTTCTACTATTTATTATATATTGTTTATTCATTTTCTCGCTTCTCCACCCAATTATAATTGTACACATCACAAATCATACCACAATTCACATTAACCATTGGAGACATATTTTTTAATTTCCATTCTCCATGCCATTCTACACAAAATGGACAATGTTCCATTAGAGATGCTCTAGCCATACCACATTTTCAAAATTAACATTGTTGAATTTAACACAATGTAAATCGGTCAGATTGTGTACACATGATATTGTAGTTCGCTCGTATGGCGATTTTTTCTCTCGTAGTAGAGTCTCTAGTTCCACCATGTTGGATTTGTCAATCTTGTTCGATTTAGTGGTGTTCTAGGCTTTGTCTTTTCCTTCTCTCATCTTGGAGTCTCTTCTTGCTCTAGTTTTTCTTTTAGGGTTTTTGGGGTGTGGGTAGTTAGGGTTTCTAGGGTTGCCTTTGCCGTGTCTACCTTTGTATTGAGTTGTCGTGTAATGGATACTGAATTAGCAGAACATCTATCAAAATTTAAGCTGACAGATAAAGAAGGGTTAGGGGTCGAATTGGAGGAAAGGGATGTGGTGTCGGGATTACAATAATGTAAGCTCAGTCTCATCGGCAAGATCTTCGGGGAAAACCGGGCCAATTTCAGTGGGTTAAAGGCCACGCTGGGAGGGATCTGGATTACGAAGAACCCTTTCTCGGTCCGAAGCCTAGGAGATAATATGTTCCAATTCCTGTTTCAAACCGAAGAGGATCGGGACAGAATATATAAGGGCAAACGTGGTCCTTCGCAGGACAGTACCTCTTGTTGAAACAATAGTGTCCTGGAAGATTATTTTTTGCAGAGGAAGAAGAAGTCATTAAGATATGGGTCCAAATTCACAAGCTCCCGCTGCACTGGGTTACAACAGAAACGGGGATTACAATTGGAAGAATGTTGGGCAGAGTGCTAGATGTCCAAATCCCATCAGCAAGAGGAGCTAAAGGACAGATGATTAAAGTGATGGTGGAATTGCATCTGAAAGAAGCACTGCTAAGGGGCACCACTATCAAACTTGGCAGTGAATCTACATGTATTGATTTCAGGTATGAGTCTCTCCAGACATTTTGTTTTTACTGTGGTAAGATAGGCCACTCAGACCAGTTCTGTGTGACTAAACAAGAGGAAATTAGTAGAAACATTATTAATCTGGGTCAATATGGTGATTGGTTGAGAGCGGGTAGTACAAGGCAGAGTGAGGGTAGATCGCAAAGTACTAACCAAGCAGGTAACCTGAATAGAGATATAGAACCATCTATACCACCTCAGCCATCCCATGTAGAGAGGCCACTATTAATCTACCCCATAAGGATAGTGTGGAAAGTGTTCTGGGAGGGAGAATAAAAGGGATTGTTGAGGAGAATAAAAATGAGGAGGGTAGTGGTAGTGTGTCTAAAACTCTTCAATCTATGGAGAAACAACCCTTAGGGAAAGCAGGGGAAAATCCTGTAGTTGTGGGTAGAATAGAAGTTGATAATTCTCAGCTGGTAGAGATCACCATTGCCCCTGCTGCTGTGAGCAGTGGAACTGCCCAGAGGAAAAAAAAAGATCTTCTGTGAGTAAGAATAAAAAGAACCAGGTGTCAAAATC